CCCCCCCCCACCCCCAACTTAAATAATGACTGGTTCCTAAGTTAGGGCAAATTCAAACTAGATATGGAACTCAATGTGTACTAAAGAGAGCTTCCTCCTTAACTCCCAGGAAATTGTATGAGTGAGTTTATGGGTCTTATCTTAGGCCGCTACGAAGCCAAGGTAAGAATAAAATTCTTAATCTTAGTTACCCTCTGAGCCTTCGTTCCTCGTGGCCAGCAGCCAAGAACAACAATGGACCTGACCACGAGGAACGCAGGCTCTTATCGTAGGCCCCTATGAAGCCAAGGTAAGAATAAAGTTATCTTAGTTACCCTCTGGGCCTTAATTCTCGTGGTCAGTAGCCAAGAATAACCATGGAGCTGACAGGCTCAGTGAATGAAATCAAGGCGTGTGTCTGTATTGACGTGATATACTGATGTTACAGGAGGGTGGATTCTTGCCTGGTGGAGGTAGTCTACATAGCATGATGACACCACATGGACCTGATAGAGAGTGCTTTGAGAAAGCAAGTAACGCAGAGTTGAAACCAGAGAGAGTTGCAGATGGTACCATGGTAAGTAAAACCAAATGACAATATCTTTAGCAATATCTAAAAAAGGTTAGACCTTCATGTGGCCTGGATGACCATGTAAAATAGCGGTCCCGTCTCTCCACACTACCTCACCCTGCAATGGAGGGACATAAAAAAACCACTGACGGAGTAAGTAAACCCTGGCAAAGACCACCCTCAGTGTCTGGCCTTTACTAATGATTTCTTAAATGGTTGATTGTGAGATGGATATAGGGATTTGAAGGGGATTGGGAATTGGTGCAATGTACCTAGAAAGGGACCTTGTGTCATATGTGAGTAGAGTTGCTTGTTCACTCTTTACTGTGTCATTATCCTTTAATCCTGTGTGGCACGTAGGGTCGATCTTTCCTGTGTATCCAAGGTGGTTTTTTCCAGGATACCTGGTTATCCTCCTTCTGCAAAACTGAACGACACTTTTTTGAGTCTGCAGCTGTGACATTGTCTCTTCTATAACGAACTTCATTTTAAAATTCAATAAATTTAAATCTAAATAAATTTGAATCTCTGTTTGTTGGTCAAAATCAATAAAGTCACAAAAAGCATTTTGTCACGACTTTTTGCAAAAAATATTTAAACTAATTTTTTTTTTTGCAAAAAAAAAAAAAATTTTAATAATGTACTAATTTACAATAGGATTCCAAACTGGGATTTTTTCTCTCAGTTTACCCTGATTTCACTTAGAAAGTTGAAACTTTTTATATTTTTCTCATTAGGCCTTCATGTTTGAGTCATCTCTTAGTATGACTGTCACCAAATGGGGCTTGAAAACCTGTCAGAAACTAGATCCTGAGTACTACAAGTGCTGGCAGGACCTACAGAAACATTTCGATCCCAAGAAACCTTAATTCGTTTAACTAAATAAACACGGCTACGTTTAAAAATAGACCTTGTCCACGAAACAATGGCTTCAAGTCGAGGTTGGACCTGATGTACTCATACATTTTACTGTATTTTATCCAGTCCAGACTCGACTTTTTTTTTAGAATATAATTTTTACAATAGCATAAATTTAGGTCCAGAATTACATGGGATAAAGATTTTTAAGAACCTCAATGTAGTCACCGTAGGTCAGTTTCGGAGCTTCGAAAAAACATCGAGGGCTATACTATCAAGTAATATAACTGTGGATTTCGTTAAAAATGAATCTGACATGGCATACCGGAAGTGACGTAATTTAAATTAAGATGTAAAGGAAATAAAAAGCGCGTTTGGCAATAATATTTATAGCGGCGCGGTTGGGAAATAAACATTTTCTATTTCATGCTCTTCATGAATGTCAAACTTAAATGCTGTTTATTTTTTACTTTTGCTATTGAAGCCGAATTGAACTGGGTACGAGATATGTTTAAAAAGCGGTCGATTTTTTTTTACTTTGAGTTGTTCACGGTTATGAGGTTCATTCATGGTGCTGGCCAGGAATACGCAGCCTCGGGTTTTTTGAGGCTGCAATGTTTCTGCTCTTCATTTAGCACTGCTTTCGTTTCGATTGAGTAGAATGCATGACATATAAAGTGTATACCATATATCCGTAAAAAAGTTAACTAACAAAATTCTATAAATTATTGACAAGTCTTGAATTTTGAAAGTTTATCAATTGAAAAATGAACTTTTTAGGTTTTAAACAGAAGAAATATAATTTAGAATTATATTCGGACTTTACAGACTCTTTTATTTTATTTTTTTTTTTAATAAAAGAAAACACCTTGGCAAAAACGTAGGTCGTCAGAAGGACAACCACATTCCAAAATCTAGTCGTCATTTGCAAATTTTAGTCGTCCCTGACGACTGGACGACCGCTAATTTCGGTACCTGATTTAGAAACTTAGAACTTACAGAATATTCAAAAAAGATTTCAAACGAGGAATATTTAACAGAAGTCAAAAATATTAAACATAGAAGTGCTACTACGATGAAAATCGCTCAAACTTGGATTCAGCTGAAACTTCCTAAGAATACTCTTTA